AATAGTTGTAGACATCTCACCCCACTAGAAAATTAATAAATAAAAATAAAAATACTAATGAATGATAATTTTTTTTTAATAACCCATGATCTCATTAGTCAAAGTTTTGTCGAAAAAATCAATATCACAATACTGACAAAATATCTTATCAACAAAAAACAAAATTCAGGTAGTGTGTTTAATAGTTTCAAGACATTTGTAAGAATTTGTTTTGTAATAATTTATGATTTTCTTTTATTGATGTGAAAGGAGTCTATTATCTAATTTTTATGTATGACATATGATGGCGTGAATAAGACGTAATTATAAAACAATGTTAGGCTCATGACTATGTTTAAGGATCGGATAATATATTGGTCGGATCAATCTAGATTAATTAAAAAAATATCATCTTAAATTTTTTTAAAAAAATAGTTAAAATCAAGTTTGATTAAGATTTTTATTGGATTGATTTAGTTGCGGATTGATTGGCCTACTTAATATTCAGGTTTGATCAAATTAACTCTAATTCAATTTGATATAAAACTAGATCTATGTCAAGTCCTAAATTTATAAATTATAGCTTGATTAATAGAGTTTAATAACATTAAAAGAATAATGGTATGAATAGAAGTTCTTTATTATATTTTTTTACTATAAAGAAAAAGTTTATGACACATGATTGTAAGATTTGATGGATACTAAAAAACATGAAGATTTGTATAGTTGGAAAGTGATAATGTTCTAAAAAATCCAAGTAATGAAAGAGTAAGGACTTTTATAGTAAATTTTTAGAAGATTTTTATACACTTAAGATTGTAGAAAAATTATGATACAAAATATATTGAGTTAATAAAAAGGTCTCCTGTAATAGATAAAAAACACTCAAATATTGAGTTCTTTTTTAAGACTTTGCATATAGTATTAGGCTCTCTCTCAAAACTAAGCCCACAAGGAACAAGATCTTTCTTAGTTCTTAGTTTGAGTTTAAAAGGATTAGATTTTTTCTCTGAATTGAGCTCATGATGTTGGGTTCTTCTTCAAGAGTAAGCCTATGAAAGCTATGCTTTTCTTTTAAGCTTAGCTCATGAGGATTTTTTTATGTTAAGCTTATAGCGTTAAATTTTTTTTCTAGACTAAACTTATAAGAGTAGAGATCTTTCTCTATATTAAGTCTATAGTGTTTTTCTCTGTTGATTTAAAATGATGACTTTTAATTTTTAAGATTTTTAAATTTATTAAATTTAGATTTATTAGTAAACAAATTAAATTGTCTTTGTTTATTGTATTTTTATTATGTTAGAATCTATAAAAGTGATGGAGATGAGAGATATATTTGGATATAAATGTTCAAAAGGAAAGAGCATGGATAAATTTGCTTTGTCTTTCCAACATGGAATAATAGAATAATTTAGCTAAAAACATATCCAAAATATTCTATTAGATGATATTTGATTATTGTTTTGAAAAAAAAAAAAAAAGAAAAAAAAATTGAAACACGTTACATAATGGTGTGATATTAGTTTTTTTATTAATGACCGAATACAAAAGTTATATATATATATATATATGGTGATGTGAAAATTATGGAATATTATATATTACATATCTCTTATATCAAGAAATTTAAAGATGGATTCCGGTTTGAAAGATATAAAAAAGATATAAAAGATATAAAAAAGATATATGGTAATGAGTTTTAAAATGGCCCACTTACAAAAAAATAATAATCAGAATAGCCCTGCAACCACGGCTAATTCAGTCTCTATCATTGATAATGTGATCCACCTATCATGCTAATTATCAATTACTTTTTGATCGTCTCTCTACTTGTTGTAAGTCACAAGATCTTATCTTAGATCTTAAAAATCAGCTTTGAATCAAATGAAGGCATCTTTTAAATAAAATGGGAATGGAAAATGCATGAATATTCAGCTAATCTGTTTAAAAAAACAATAATAAAATTCACATAATTCATCAAATAAATTAATCCAATTTGCTGATAAATTAATATGGATACCATCAATTCATAGCAATAACATATAGCCAGTTTCTTGACAATAATCAAAGAACAACTAAGCAATTTCTATCTTAAAAATTCTAAGCAATTTCTATCTTAAAAAATATGCCTGCTTCTTTTAAGGCTGTGATTGGTTCATGATTTTGAAAAAGTTCAAGTGATGAAAAGATCATGGTGTAGTTGCTTTCAAATTCTAAGCCATCGCTATCTGTGATTTCCATGAAATTCCCAAGACAAAGTTATTTTCTGGGACCAAAATAAAAATAAAAATTGGGGGTATATTGTCAAATTAATAAATATTTGTAAGAACAGGATAAAATGGTGTAATGAATTACAAATAGTTGGGATATATAGTCCTATAAATTAAAGGGCATCCAATAGTCTACCAACCTAGCTCTATTTCTTTTCTTCTTTTCCACTAGAGATTTAAGCTTCCCGCATTAATGGAGTCTAAAGATTCCTTGCAGACTACTTTTTGGTATTCCTTTTTCTTTCTCACCATCCCCTTCTTTCTAACCTTTGTGCTGCTGTATCTTCTAAGATCAAAATTCCGGTGCTGCAACTGTGAAATTTGTACTAATTACCTCTTATCAGGATGGTCAAGAGAGTTCAAGAATATCTGTGATTGGTACACTCACCTTCTCCAAAATTCTCCCAGACAAACGATTCACATTCATGTGCTTGGTAACACAATCACTGCAAATCCTGATAATGTTGAGTACATCCTGAAAACAAAATTTGAAAACTACCCAAAAGGCAGGCCCTTTTCTATGATCCTTGGTGATTTTCTAGGTAAAGGTATTTTCAATGTAGATGGAGATTTGTGGCTGTTTCAAAGAAAAATGGCTAGTCTAGAGCTTGCAAGCGTCTCGATTCGAAACTATGCATTTGAGATTGTCAACACTGAGATCAAGTGCCGCCTTCTCCCTCTGTTGACATCAGCTGCTAAGAGTACAGATGGTGACCTAATAGATTTACAAGATGTTTTCAGGCGATTTTCGTTCGATAACATTTGTAGATTTTCTTTCGGGTTAGACCCTGGTTGTCTTGAATCATCATTGCCGATTTCTGTTTTCGCTGAGTCCTTCGATCTTGCATCGAAGTTGTCAGCAGAGAGGGCTATGGCAACATTGCCGTTAGTTTGGAAGATCAAAAGGTATTTCAACATAGGCACAGAGAAGAATCTCAAGGAAGCTATTGAGGTTGTCAACATTCTTGCTGATGAGGTCATCATGCAGAAAAGGAAGTTGGGTTTCTCTACAAATCAAGATCTTCTATCAAGATTCATGGCTTGCATTACTGATGATCGATACTTGAGAGACATCGTGATAAGCTTTATTTTGGCAGGCCGTGACACAATGGCCTCAGCCTTGACTACATTCTTCTGGCTTCTAGCAAGCCACCCAAATGTTGTGTCCAAGATTAGAGAGGAGTCAAACCGAGTCATGGCATCAAATCAAGAATCTGCAAGCTATGAACAAATAAGAGAAATGCATTATCTCCACGCGGTTGTTAATGAAAGCCTGAGATTATACCCGCCAGTGCAATTTGACTCAAAATTTGCCATGGAAGATGATGTTCTGCCTGATGGGACTCCTGTTAGGAGGGGGACTAGGGTCACTTACCATCCTTACGCAATGGGTCGAATGGAAAGGATTTGGGGCATAGATTGTTTGGAATTTAGGCCAGAAAGGTGGCTTGAAAATGGAACGTTTTGCCCAATTAGTCCATTCAAGTGCCCAGTTTTTCAGGCAGGGATTAGAGTTTGCTTGGGGAAGGAAATGTCACTTGTGGAGATGAAAATTGTAGCTCTTTCTGTAGTGCGTAGGTTTGACATTAAAATTGTACCACCGGAGGTTTCACCCCGGTTCAATTCCGGCCTAACTGCAATGCTCAGTGGTGGGCTTCAGGCAGAAATTAGAGAAAGGGTCAATGCAGAATGATATTGTATGTTTTATTATTATTATTATTATTATTATTATTATAATATCAATGTATGGTATGATTCATGGGTGCCATTCTATGCCACAGTGCGTGGCTCAGACATGGGGACATTGAGAGGCATGTGCAAGTAAGAGGTCCAGAGTCACATATGGATGTGTTAAAATGGCATGTCCGTGCAGGTATGGAGGTGGAGTGAAGAAGAATGACAGCGACCATTTAACCTGTAAAATTACCTAGAATTATTGACCTCTATTTAGAACAGGCAAATATTCCGTAATGAATCTATATCATAAGTAATACAACAAAAAAGCATCTGAACATTGATATTTCGATTTTTAAAAAAAAATAGATAAAATAAAGATGAATATGGTTGGATGCCATTTCATGGTAATCAATCAATCATGTTATCATAAAAAATAACTATCATCAAGTAAAAAAAAAAAAAAAGGAGAAATGGCTCTGAATATTCAATATACACTTACACCCCTAATTATTTTAATTTGACCCACAAATAACAGTTCATAATCTAATAAATTTTCTTTTATTTTTTTCCTTGCATCCAAACTAATAGAACAATTCATTTAACCAAATTTTAACCCAGAAAACATCAAATAGTTTATCTTCTAAAAGAAAATCAAACCATCGACAATTTCTTATAATTTTCTCTTCTTTTTTCTTCTTCTTCTTCTTTTTTTTTTTGACCCACCACCCACAAGCTCAACTCCATCATCAAGCCAGGAACCTTCAACTCTTAAAATCAATCCCTCCATCAATTAGGCTAATATATGTCAACTGGGTAAGTACTAATTCAGCAACAATATACCTGGCCCTGGCTAACCCACCAGCTAGTGTGTATCTAGTTTCTCTTTTTGAAGAAGGCAAATAAATTATTGGAAAATTAAATCAAATCTAGGTAGCTAATCTAGGAGGGTAATTAAGTTAATTACATATAGATCACTGCAATAAACACATATAAATTTAATGAAACATTAATCCCATAAATTAAGTATTTTTAATCAATAACACTACCACCATCTTAATTGTTCAGGCAAATTGGTACCTAATTAGCTCTACAGGTAGAGCTTCATATTCATCTGAACCCAAATTAACATTGAAGTACATATAATTATATTTATAGATAGAATAACAATCATTAGTGTTTTATTATTAAATCTCATAAATCTAGCAATCAATATAATGAGTGAAATAAGTAAAGATACTCGGTAAGATAAGCATAACTCGCGTGTAATATCCATTTGTTTTTACTAGATCAAAAGCTATACGGCAGCAAATCTCGGGATCTTATCACGTACTCCATTTTTCAATTGTAGGGTAGCAGCCAGGAGCACCTTAGCCTCGGTCTGATACCATTCAAAGCCTTATCCATCTCTTGTGACAGTGAAGGAACATTCGACTAATAATAATCAGGAATAAAAATGAAAGGAGTAATAGAGTTTGATCTCTTACCAGAGGTGAACAAGAACATACCTGACTAGAAAGAAGCCAGATTCCCAGCTGAACTTCCAAAGATTAGCTTAAACAACATATTATTTGGGGAAAATGTGAGCAAATCTCTTGTAAAAGTCACCGCGAATGAAGAGACAAAATCATGCTAACCAAGATCTCCTTGAGATGACAGTAGAAAAGTCTTCTTGGTTATAAATGCAAAAATGCTACACAAATAACAAACCCAAATCATGTGTTTACAGTCCTCTGCCTGGCCTTGCCTTGGACAAATGGAGAAATGCTTTAAAAGAATCTATCCCGAAAACCTGTTGACATGCACAATTAATGCTTTGGTTAAAAATAGAAAGAACGATGAATACACTGAGTAGAGTTTTAAATTAAATAGGGTGAAAAATAATCTAGCCAGACTCTCTCAGCTTGCTGGGTTAACTCGTAATTTGATTGACCAAATCAAAATCTACATCAACTTATTTTTTAATTGGAAATGACACTGTTTCAACTTTAAAAAAAATACCAAAACGACATTGTTTAATAACTTTGCCTTTTCTTTTTGTTCACCGGAGAAGCATCTAGACCCATATTTTGCACGTGGGATAAAACATTTATGGCAGTCTGGAGTTTAGTACGAGCTAGCTAGCTGGAAGAATTGGTAGTTGCAATGTAATGGTGAGTTTTAGAGAGCGGAGCCCACATCCAGTTGCCAGGCATCGACCTGCAAGTGTAAGTGCAATTCGCTCCTTCTGCTGCATTATTGGGCTCGAAATTTATTTCTGACACCGAAAAGCTGAGAAGTGTGGACAAGCTGTCTGTCTTGGCCACCTCTAATCTCCATAACTTAAATGTGCCACCAAAATAATACGTGGCAAAAAAAAAAAATTAAATGAGAGATGTACGTATTGAAAAAGTAGATAGAAGTTATCCACAAGTATATTATACATGGTCTAGAATCAAAAGAAAAGATTGGTGCATTGTGTCGTCTGTGAGATTTTTTCTGCTTTTCTTAGAAAGATTTTTAAGGAAATAGAAAATTAAAATATATTTGTGCACACGCAAGCTTATATATTGAAAATAAAAAAATAAAAATATATATAAGAGGTGTATTTCTAATTTTTTGATCCTCTTGAAACTAGAAAATGTAAAAGGTTTTGCTTTCTAGATTCTTGTAATAAAAACCTCGTTTTATTCATCTTATTTTTTATGTTCATTTCTTTTATTTATAAAAATTAATTAAAAAAATTCTCAATGGCCTGGTTCAAGTTAGATGCCAAGTGAGCGGGTCACTCAAACCGGGCCGGCTTTTACAGGAATTCTCAAGACATCCTCTCGAATGAATGAAAATAAGCAATAAGGTTTCCCACTGTATACAGCAGACAGCATTATATACGGTGGTCATAAGCTGACACATATGTTTTTGTACATGTAGGATAACAGGACCACAAGGGATGAACGAATTCACTTTACTTGTTGGTTTCAATATTTTATTTTTTAAAATATTTATTTATTTAAAAATATATTAAAATAATTTTTTTAAAAAAAAAAACTCTCTCTACCTTTGCTGGAGCCTCCAGAAGGGGGCAAATCCAGCACTGAAATATTTCGTGTGATGGAGGCCCATTTGGTGACTAAAATACATGATAGCAGGCCCAATGAGAGAGGAGGATAATCCTGCCTCTGTACCGATTGGAAAAATGAGTTTAATGATAGCAGGCCCAATGAGAGAGGAGGAGAAAAATGAGTTCAGCATCAACACATGGAAACTCTCGAATTGAAAGAATGAGCATAGCATACAGTAAGAGCAAAGATAAAATTTAATCTTTTTTCATACAGTTTTACTTAGCAATCAAATCTCAAATCATGAAATATTAGGGAGTTGCATACGTAATAGTACAGGGATCGAAGGTAAATATAGAAAACATAAAGAAGGAAAAGGAAACGGAGGTGGTTCAACAATAATTATATGCATTGTTTGACTAAAGTTGCTAGCCAGCACATGATACTGCTTCGGTGCTTGAGGCTACGTAACCACTTTTTATATTATAAATTATATTTTAATATTTTATTTAATTTTAAGTTGAAATTTTAAATTTTTAAATTGAATTGATTCATTACATGATATTAGAGTTTTAATAATCAAATAATTATAAATTTAAATATCACCATTCTTATTTATTTAATAAAAATTAAGTATGAAGTAGTGTAAATTTGTATAAGTTTTAAGTTTAAAAAACTTTTATAGAAGGAAATATATTAAAAAATAGTATAAATTATATAATAAAATCTTATTTAATAATTTTAAATTTTAAATTGAATTAGTTCTATAATACTCTAGCTAACATGAGTTAATAGTTTATCAAGATTATTAAACTTGCCGGGACAAGATTTTATAATCATGGATTTAACATTTCAATTCAATTCGAGTAAATATGAAATAATGTCATTTCTAGGTTTCAATCATATTATGGGTTAATCCATTCATCTCATCTAAATCTAATTACCAATTGACCAACGACTAGTGTTTTTTTAAAAATGATGCCTATCAGATCATGAGGAGACCTCTCCGGCGAAGATGGATTTAATAGCATTTAAGTTTATCATCAGGCAACTATATTCTTAACGATCCCTTTTAAGGTGTCGTATATTTATTGCAGTGTGATGCAAGCGCGATAGCTTCACCTGGTATGACAACCTTGCAATGGGTTTTTTTAGATGTTTTTTTCAAAAAAAATAAAAAAATAAAAAAGACTAACACATGAGGCCATGTATATACAGACACACCCATCATGTTCTTATCCGTTATTAATTCCTTCTTTTCCTTTTCCATGGAGTCATGATTCATAGAATAATAATCACTTCGCGTGAAATTTTGACCATTCTTGCAATCTATCATGTTAGTTAACACTTAACAGCAGTGTTTTCGTTCCCCTCCCCAGAGTACTACTGGCTTCACAGGGTCAACTCCTCGATCGAGGGATGCATGCATCTATCATGGAGGACGCCACCTTCTTCATTAATTAAAGTAATTAACTAATGCGCGGTTGAAGATCGGGTTATAATTAGAACTTATAACGTGCAGCTCAAGATCCCATGTAGTTTTCAACACTGTTATAAAACCCGCAGCTTTGCTGGGCAGATCAACCTGAATACCTGAAACTTACTTAACTTAGGGTATGTATTGGTTCATATTGAAAAAAACATAAAAAAAAAGTAGTTGATTTGGTCAAAAATCTAAGATGATTCTTGATTAATCTAAAATAATTTATTGATTTTTTATTGTCAAAACAATATTGTTTATTTTTTTTAAAAAAATAAGATTTGAATTTTATGTCAAATTAACATCGGATGAGGTTTTGCAACTATATTTTTTTAGTACTTATCTTATATCAAACTCTTATAAGAATTTATTTTGATATTAGACTTTTAATTTATTGTATTTTTCAAGAAAGGAAAAATTAACTATGCACCCAAAAATTATTTAAAATATTTTATTATGCTCTAAAAAAGAACACTATATATTACAAAAACGCATTTTATTTCAATATATATATATATATATATCTCCTAAGTTAATGAGCAGTAATTAACTCTTTTTTAATGCTTCCTAACCAGCGCCCGGAGCTTTACCCGTCTCAATTAATCCGAGCCCGTGTTTGGTATGGAAATAGACGGCGCGAACAAAAGGCTTTGCTCGCGAAAATTTAGTGTGGAGGGCTTTTCAAAAGTATTTAAAAAAAAAATTAATTTTTTTTTGTTTTTTTATTTTGAATTAATATATTTTTATATTTTTAAATTATTTTGATAGGATGATGTTAAAAATAATTTTAAAAAATAAAAAAATATTATTAACATATTTTTTGAATAAAAAATATTTTAAAAAACAACTGCAATCATATTACCAAATATATGAGTATATTCAAAAGCAATCTTGTTTTAAGATTTTAAAAAATAAAATCAAGATAAATTTTTTAAGAAAAATAAAGAAGAGTTTTTGATCCAATAAACACTTACATGGTGTAATTTAAAACTTTCAAATAAGATTAATCCGTTGATAATGCGGAGTTTAACAGCATTAATTGTATGAAAGAGGATTAGCAATGAAAAGATTGAACACAAATCAAGAGGAGAAGGAGCTGGTACTGCAAGGGGGATGGGTGTACTATCTAATCTAGATGTGTGGTACAAGTCTGTACTGCCTTGACATGGAAAGGGGATAATCCATACATATCTCAGCTAAAAGGCATGGCCTTCTTCTACAGTTTGTTCAGCTACCGAATCAAAACTGTGCCTCCACACAAATCTTAGATTCAGAAAAATAAATAAAATACTATCAATGGAAAAACCAATGCCGTTAAACTTTTTATTTGTCTTTTTTCTCATCGGGTATATTATGTATAGGATTAAATAAAATAAATAAACAGAAAACTATTTAACTAAACAAACTCCTTTTTCTTTGTGGACAGAAACCGTCACATCATCAACACAAATTGGTAAGAGGAACAACACAAATGTTAATTTTATATAGAAATAATATTAACAAGTTAAAGACTTGTTAACTTAATAAAAAAAATTGGAAAATGTTGCGGGACCCGCAACAAAAAACATAAAAAATTCTATAAATTCACGACTCTGAAGAATGCATAATCAAGAACAAACTTAAAATCTTCCCTCTGTCTTCTTGATTCCTTGTTTTTAGTTCTGTTTACTACAGCAGCAATACCATAATCATGTCTCAGGTACCAAACATTCTTATTTCTTGATTCATCTTTTATGGCAAAGTCTGTGTTTTTATTGTATTATTTACTTGTTGTCTTGGCTCGTGATGGGATGTCTATGAGTTTTTGATTGATTTTGGATTGCCATGTTGAATTTCAAGTTTGAATCTTTTCTATGATTATTGGGTTTTTGTTCATTTTGTTTTGTTTGAGGATTTAAGTGAATTCTGTTATGGTTAAAAAAGTTGGTAAAGGTGTAAAATTTAATTTTGTGAACCTGGTTTTTGAGGGAGAAAGATTGCTGCTTTGTTGTTGGGGAACCTGGAACTGTGGTTTTGAGTCATTTCTGGTTTTAGTTGAATGAAAATTGTAGGATAAAAGGGATACAAAAGTGGCTTTTTTTCTTTTTGTGTTATTGTTATGAGTTAGAAATTTATCTAGGCTTGGATATTAACTGAAAGTCTTCACCTGTTTTTGAGAGTTTGTCTTGGTTTTTGCTGTCTTCCCTCTTCTTGATTTGTTTTCATGATGATTATTGCTGATTTTTTAATGTGTAATGATTTTCAATTTTGCTTGATTGCAGACTGTTGTCCTCAAGGTTGGCATGTCATGTGAAGGCTGTGTTGGGGCTGTGAAAAGGGTTTTGGGCAAAATGGAAGGTTTGTTCTTGCCTTTGCTTTTGATCTTTTTAGTCTCTTGAGCTTTGTTGACCGTACTGTCTTTCTTTCAACACACACACACACAAACAATTGAAATGGCCAAACATTTTAGATGGGCTTTGCTGGGCTGTCAATCTTAGTCCTTGATGCTAAGGTACTATTCCAGGAATTTTAGGGCAAGGTGTACATCGTGTTCATGGTCTATTTGATTAATGAACTGGGGCAAAGATTGGTTACAGGATTTTGCACCTTTGCAAGTAGATTAGTTAGCAGTTTGGTATGATGAGGTTTTGGAGCATCTGCAATTTGTGAAGACTAGGATATTTACTACTTGTACATTAGAAAGCAATGCACTTCTTTACTCTTCATCAGCGAATAAAGAAAAAAGAAAAAAAGAAAGGTAGATTTCAAATATTAATCAAATCTGGCTTAGAATTCCATGAGCAAATGCTATTTTCATATTTAGCGGGGACCTTTGGTTCATAGTTTTTGTTATTTGATGATAATAGAGTGTTTCTTCTGTGAGCATCTTCTTCAGGTGTGGAATCATATGACATTGATTTGAAGGAGCAAAAAGTCACAGTGAACGGAAATGTGCAGCCAGATGCTGTTCTTCAGACCGTCTCTAAGACCGGGAAGAAGACTGCCTTCTGGGAAGCAGAGGCACCAGCTGAACCCGCAAAGCCTGCAGAATCCGTGGCTGCTGCATAATGTTGATGATACCAATATTTACCATGTGAAACTGTGTTCTACTGGGTTATAGTTTGTTGAGCTTTCTATGATCATGATGTGGATTGTGGATATCCAGCATGATTTTATTTGGATGTAAGCTGTAATAATTTCTCTGGTACATTCATATGGTTATATGTATTATCATTATTATACCATAACTTAAAACGCATGGCATTTTTTACCGTAGAGGAAGTTACTCTTCAGGCACACACCAATCACCGCGGATAGGAATGTGTTGCGCCATGTACTTGTCAAAAAATTATCATGGCCCTCAAATTTTTTTTTTTGGCAATCTAGTTCTACTTGAAGGCCAATCGATTGTGATTTTTTCTGGAAAAAGGTGGGATTAAAAAAAAAATTGAAATAAAAAGGATGTTAAACATAGGTGGTGTGTCATCAGCCTCAGCAACAATTACACTTTAGTTCCTTAACTTTAAAAATAATTAAATTATATAATTTTGGTTCCTCCAAATTTTTCAAATTTAATTTTAGTATAAAAAATTATTTTTTTATTTTTCAATCCTTGCTTAAAAAGAGGAGAAAAAAGATGGTTAGATTCCAGTAGTAAAAAAAAAAAAATCATTAATATCAATTTAGACTATTAAAATATTTGATATTTGTGTTATATGGATCCATTCAATGGATTAGAGAGATTGTTTTGATTTAAAAATGAGTTTTTGAATAAAAAAATTAAAGTTTGATTTTCTAACCCGCTCGAATCTGAGTAGCATTAGATGACCCATCATCTAATTTTGTTTTCAAAGCAATTTGTTGTTCACCCTGAATGTATCCAAAAGAAAAATAAAGGCCTAGTTACTAAAGCTTGCAAGGGCAGGCCTACACGCGAGCTTGGAGAAATGGGTTAGGAGGGCAGGGTTGATCGGCTTACCAGGCATAGAAGTGCTAGACTTTTTTGTTTTTTTTTTTTTAAATTTTTTTTTATGATTTTTTATTTATTTTTAAATTTTTTACCTTATTTGTATTTAGATTAATATATCTTCTTTCTTTTATTTTATTTATGGAATCTCTTTTAAATAACAATTATTTTTTCTATGCATTTAATTTTTGAAAATGTTTTTTTTATTTATCTATAGTTTTTTTTACATCTTTTTTATAGATGAATTTTTATTTGGAGAGGAGAAAAAAATTATTTGCAGATAATATATATATATATATATATATATTCAATCAATTAATGCGTGTTTATTTATATTATATTAAATGAAAAAATGATTTGTATGCTTGACCCGTTAAGAGGGCTAGGACTAGGAAAATGAACGCGTTAGCCTTTGAATTTACTCCTTTTAGCCTCCGGAATTGCAAATTCTATATGGCTAGCTATAGCTTCTCTTCCCCAAACATTACACCCAACTCCCAAGTCCATTGATGTTCTTCCTTCTTACAAGAAAACGCAGCCTGTTCAAAAGCTTGGAAGATAAAATTAAACTCAAGAGACACGAGAAAGAAGGTGATCACGGAGGAGGTGAAGAGGAATGTCATTGTTGTGGTGTTCAACTTCTGACGTTTGAATATATAGATCGTTGGTGAATCTCTGTTACATCGTCCTGCAAAGATCTCTCAAGGAAAGGAGACACCAAGGAAGTTCGAAAGGACTTGGCTTGCGCAGATCTTCGCTGGTTGAGAGGTCAACAAAGAATGTGATTAAGCATTATTTGACTTTGATGCATCGTTGCAATATCTAAGCCAAATGTACTTATGGCAAGAAACTAGAAGCATGGATTGGAGAAGAAACTCATGGAACAAATGTGAAGTCCCATCTTGCAAGTGTAATTAGTTTATTTTACTTCACAATATATATATATATATATATATACATCATGTAAAAATATCAAATAACTTTACAACAAAAATAATGTTGATTGTTTTAAGAAAGAGCAAAACGGTCATTTTATTGTTGTAATGAATAAAAAAAAATATGTCTTCCCTTTAGCTTTTTATTAATATTCAATAAATTAATAATCTTGATTAAATAATATTTTTATTTGATATCAACTTAAATTTAAAGTTTAAATGATATCTCCATTAATTGAAAAGTTTTCATGTTATCATGAATATTAATTTATAGACGTTTAACTGTAATTTCATTCAAATTTACTTTAACTACAAATGATTAATAAATTAGATTCATGTGCAATAAAATAATTTATTTCGACTTAAGAAGTTTAATAATTTAATCTACGAGATTCATTTATTCAAAAAAAGTCAATGTCATGAGATGCTTGAAAAGGGAATTCAAGAATAATATTTGGTAATTTAAATTAGCATTAACTACACAAGTTAGTCCATTGATTTTTTTTTTTAAAAAATGATTGTTAAAGATTAAAAAAAAAAAAAACCATGTCCACAAGCACAGCGGAAAACGTGCAAAGGAAGTTACTTTAAATGACTAACCAGGCATCATAAAACCCTAACCCTGATTCTATTAACAGCCAATCAAAACCCAGCTTTCATACGGTTTTCTTCTTTCTCTGAGGATCAAAGAAAAAACCCTCAAAGGCAAAATCTTTCTCTGCCTTTTTCTTTGCAATACGGCAAACCCTTATTGTATCATACTCTAATTTGTTTGCTTTTGTTGAAATTTAGAGGAAAAAGAAAGAAAGAAACAATGAAGACTGTTGCTGCTTTTTTGTTGGCTGTTTTGGGTGGCAACAATAGCCCTTCTGCTGAAGATATCAAGAAGATTCTTGCCTCTGGTATATGCTCTTTATTGTTTATATTTTTCTTTTTGGCTTGAAAGATGAAATCTTTGTTTTTTTAAAAAAGAAGAAGAAGAAATCTTGAAAGGCAAGTAACAAGAAATCTTGGGATTTTTAAAAAATTAATCTTGTGTTCAGTTTGGGTGGTAATATTCCGGGGAATAAAAGAATGACCAGAAAATTAAAAACCCATTATAAATTATGTTAAAGTTTTTTTTTCCTGTTTGGGATCAAAAACAGGGGATTAGCTAGTTTTTTTCACAATGTTGTATGTGATATGCTATAATGTTGAAGAGTTGTTTGTCGATGTTGTGTATTATGGCATGAAAAGTTCAGACTGGATGCGTGCCTGTTGATTTGACTACTAAATTAGCCATAAAAACAGGTTGTGCTGTTGGTTCATCTTTTTTATTTTTTGCTACTCTGATAACTGTAAGGGATTTAGGTTCTGAAAGTAATGTATGTTTTGTGCTGGATAGAGAATATTGTATGGAAGGATTTTTGTGGTTTTTGTGTTTTGACATGAGGGGTACGGAGATTGTGCCGTCCGGAGAAACTTGATTTTAAAGTCAATAGGACTGATTTTTATGCTTGTGTTCTACTCTGAATTGGATCTTAATCTGGGTTATGTAGCTGATTACCTCATGCTTTCTTATATTAATTAAAGATTTTATTTTTGTGTTTTAAAAAAAAATTATATAAAAATATATCATATTGATTTTTTTTTAGTATTTTTCAAATAATTTTGATAAACTAATGTTAAAAAAATAAAAAATTATTTTAATATATTTTCAAGTAAAAAAACATTATATTACTAAAAAATACCACTCTTTTTTCTTACAAAACTTTTTTTTGGTACTTGTATCTTGAATTTCATTTTTCTTAATTTGAATCCTTCGGATTGGATGTATATCTTTGATTATCAAAACTGAATTTTTTTCTCTTTTCTTTTGAAAGGAAAAACAAAATGTGAATTTTCAGTCAGAAAAGCCAAAACTCAGGACAAATTAGACGTTTATGGAAATAATTAGGCTTTTTGAGGTTTTGAATGCTTCGAACTATGGTTTGCAGTTGGTGCTGAAGCTGATGATAAGATTGAGCTACTCTTGTCTCAAGTTAAGGATAGGGATATAACTGAGCTTCTTGCTGTTGGAAGGGAGAAATTAGCTTCCGTGCCTTGTGGCGGCGGCGAACATGTTGCAGCGGCTGCTCCAGTTGATGGCGCTGCTGCTCCTGCTGCTGAGACAAAAGAGGAGAAGGTAGAAGAGAAAGAGGATACAGATGATGTAAGTCAACATCTTTCTTAAGGCCGGATTACTAGATTTACAAGAAGCTAATTGTTTTGCTGAATATATTTTTTTTATTCCACTTCTCTATTTTCAATTCTTTTGATCTGGGACCTCCTTTCTATTCGTGCATTCATGTCTAGTCCGGTCATCATGTAGTAGATCAACTGGTTATTGCTATGCATGCAAATATTATTTAATTGCTAGTGCACTGATGTTCCTTATGTTTCATTCCTTGCAGGATCTGGGCTTCAGTCTCTTTGATTGAGGAACCATGATATCAGAAAAACTTTATTCTTCAGATCAGCTGTAGTACAGCTTTAGAACATTACTTCTACAGGATGCAGGTTATGAGTACTTCCTTTTTTGAGACTAGAAAACCCTAGATGTGCTAGAAAAATCTGAGATTTTAACTGTGGATTGTGATTTTTTCCTTTTTTTCGTTATCTTTTTATCAAAGATTCAAATTTCGGTTGAGGTATAGCAAGAAATGAAAGGCTACAGTTCACACAAAAATGGCAGAACTCCTGTGAAAACTTATCAATCTGATCTCTTTTTGGATTGTTTCGAGAGATGCTGTTGGTCTAGTCCCACGACAATCATAAGAAAGCAGCACCAAAATATAATTTAGGATGTTGCCTGTTCATGAGAATGATGGCATATACCAGTAATCAACTTTTGATTTTCAGAATATTCAATGAACATAACAAGGCACCACTTTATACCTTGTTGGGGCAGCAAAAGCATTGCTCTTTAAATGCTATGTTGTCTCATCACTATGATCTTCTGCGAACTTTTTATTAATCACTATGAACATGCGGCTTTGTATCTTTCTGCGGCATAAGCTCCATTAATTTTACCGAAGTCATGGTAGAAGCCCTTTCTTTCAAGCCATGGCAAAACTTAAACTGACCAGCGGTCCTGTAATTGTTCATTACTGTGAGTTGAAACACTCATTGGTCCCTGATATTGTTTAGAGTTTCAGGTGCATCGTGTTCTGTATGATTCAGATTACTTTGAACAGTCTAATCTGGCCAGAAACCTGTATAAGTTTTTGAAAGGTCTTAGTTGTGTTCTGTATGAATCAGATTACTTTGAACAGCCTGTAACCAAAAAAACAACAAAGATCACTTTGAACAGTCTAATCTGGTCAGAAACCTGTATAGGTTTTTGAAAGGTCTTAGTGGTAGCTGTAATGGACCTTGTTGAATTCTTCTATGGTCTTAGATGTCCTTTCAAAGATTTTCAAACCTCCGACAAGTAGATTCCAATCCCCATTGCATGCGTTCTTTCTCTCCGCACACCACCCCAACCAAACCCACCCACATAACTAAATACACAGTTCCACCTATGCCAGTGAGTTAGCCTAGTCTACCGCCCAGTGTCCAAATGGAAGTGTTCAGATGTTCTTCGGACTACTACTTTATTTTTTCTTTCTTTGTTCATGTTCTAAATGGATTAGAAAAGTATCAGATCTTAAACAAATGGACGGCTTGTGGTAATAAGTTCTTTAACTGCATGGGTAAGCTTAATGATAATTGTAACGAGCTCTAATTGCCACGACAAGAGCAGTTGTGGAATAGCACTTCCATGACAAGGTCAATGGCGGAATAGGTCTAATTGTAATGACTTGAGATTTGTTCTGGCTAGGAGCTGCTACTATACCTGGGACAAATCTCCATGGTTTTGGCACAGAGGAGTTTCAGGAAAATGGAAGTAAGGTGAGAAATCCCTCTCGTGTGTCCAGTCTTTCTTCATAGAAAAACGAGCAGGTTGCAAAAAGATGATAAAATAATAAAATAAAGGTTTTGTCTATCCTGTTAAGGCTAGCAGGATGACAACTTTAGGAGATGGTGTTCTCAAACCATTGCTTGATCTGTCCTAAACATGATAAGCAGTTTCTAACATTACATTTAACTATTAACCCAGTGAATAAACTTCTGGGATTGTTGCTCTAACCATGACATCAACCTGTAAGACTTTTGTCCAGGACAGCTTTTCTGGTGACTTTGTTGTTGGCCTTGGATCTTCGAGGCCAGAAATCAGCCAAAAGACAATAAACAATCCAAACAACCGCATAATAAAAACCACTAGAAGAGAGACTAAATCTTCCATTTTCTTTTTTCAGAACAGCAAATGAAGGAGAAACATAGATTTTCGCTGCAAATTACTGGTGGCTCCAGAACTCTCCCCGTAGGGTAGAGAAAGATGCCCACAATAATTCCAGGGAAACATACATGACATCAAATAACAACTGAAAGTTCAAACAGGACTAGAAATGAAATCTGACAAGTTCTAAACAGACTGCAATTTCAGCTTTCATTATTGAGAACTCTGAAACACGGTCCGCAGAGCATAGCAGAACAGAAAAACCACCAGATTGTGCTTTTCAGCAACCTTGGTAGTCATTGGTGACAATCCTCCTTTCCAGCTGCATCAGAGAAATTCCAGAGAAACAATAACCCATTACTAATACAAAAAGTCATTGATAACTTTCTACGTCGAATATAGTGCTTGAAATCTACAAACTCAAACTAATATCATATCTGTTACCTCAAGGAAAGCCTCCAATTTATTATGTAGAATGGAAAAATCACCTTTGATCACCTCCAACCTCAGGAGGCAGCTACAAATCAGATAATTTACAACAAGTGAGTGGCTGACAGATATGGTAACTAATATCTATTGCAATCGCAACTAAAGACAGCATTAGGAACATAATTTTAATGATTTCATACTCATCCTTGTTTCTGGCAATAGCAGCCTGACGAAATTCGCCACAAGAAGTCGCCAACCGGCATGCACCAAGGCTGCAACACCAAATTGAACAGAGCAAGTGAGTCTAAATAATTATGATAAGCATGATGACTCTTATTAGCCATGAGTAAACACGACCGACCCAGCACCGCTAAATGCATAAGCTAGGTAGTTCTATTAAAGGCATTCAAATCAACTATCTATCAAAATTTTCATTAGGCAATTCAATCATTTCACACAAAGCACGCCGAGACGATTGTTTCTAACAGATAAAAACAAATTAAGGAATCAAAAAATTCTTAAACATGTTTCATAATGATTAATTAATGCAACGCAAGCTAGATCTAATCAATAAATGGATTGATAAGGAATAAATTAAATCACCATGAGGTCCCTCCCTTAAGCTTGATGCATAGTTGTTCGAGATGTTTGAAGTCCACAAGAGGCTGATCCCTGTAAGAAAATTAAGAATGAAAGAAGATTATAATCAGTAATAAAACACAAAAGAAGACCTCATTTAGATAAACTGAAAGAACAAACATTGCATGCATGTGCATAAGATTCAAACGTACAATTCGGTAGTCATCTCCTTTAAGGTTGTTTCAGAATCAGATATGTAAGTAGGAAGAAGCTCAATAAACAGGAAGGGTCCATTGGCCTCCTTCAAGTTGTAACAGTCTTTGAAATGATGGTCCACAATTCCCTGCAAGCAAAGAAGATAATTGATAAACATAATGACAATCAAAAACGCATAAAAATGTACCAAGAAGACAAAAAAAACAGACATCATTTTCCATGGACTGGATGAAGTCGTACAGCTTCTCAGTGAGAGCTTCAAGACCTGCCAACCCTGCCATTGCTGAAGAGAAGAAGCTAGCCCCACAAAAGAACAACAAAGAGAAATTGAGAGAGAGAGAGAGAGAGAATCTTAGCGAGGAGCGGTGCATGAGAGGTAGCATAAGGGGGGTTTTTATAGGTAGTTCAAGGAGTAACTGCGTCTGAGTTTGCATGCAATTTTGGAGATGAAGACAGAGCTGTATAACGTGAAAAAAAACCACGGTTAAGGCAAAGACAAAAAGTGGTGGAAGTTTCTCGCATGTTTCTGTGCTGGCAAAACAGGCGTTATGGGTTCGCTCAAAATCTGCAATGAAGCAAGACATACCTGCATATTTGGCAAGAAATAGCAAAGGATTGTGCGTGTGATGATTTTTGTGTCAAAGGATTAGGGTGCTCTTGGCATGTATAATCAATCTACTTTCAATTACTGCAGCAATTAGCAATGGAAAAGGGTTTGTTGCTTTAAATGGAAGTGGTTTTTGTAAGTAAAGAGAAATGATAATACTTCTTAATTATAGGTTTTTTTACTCCATTAGAAAAGAGGAAAATGGCAATTAAGAACATTTATTTATTAAGGGTTAGTATAAAGTATAAACTAAAATACAGAATATTATTTTAAAATTATAAAAGTATTTGGAACAAACCTTTCAGATCAATCCGTCTTCAAAACTCATTAATAAGTTAAAAGTTATTCACTTAACCAATAATTAAAAATTAATTTTAAAAAATAAGTCAATAATGATAAAAACGGTCAATAATGATAATACCTATTTTGAAGACAAAACTCAATACAAAATATTATTTTTAAATTAAAAATTATTTAGAATAAACCATTTCCAAGCAATGTGTCTTCAAAACTCATTAATGTTGTTGTTTATTATGAATAAATTAAAATTTATTCTTTCAACTAATAATTAAAAATCTATTTAGAAAAACGAGTCAATAACGATAATAACTGTCAATAAAGATGATACCTCTTTTAAAGACAAAGCTCAATATAAAATATTATTTTTAAATTATAAAATTATTTGGAATAAACCGTCTCCGAACAATATGCCATCAAAACTCATTAATATTATTGTTTGCTATGAATAAATTAAAAATTATTCACTTAATCAATAATTAAAAATTAATTTAAAAATATGAGTCATTAACAATAAAATTATCAATAATAATAATAACTATTTTGAAGACAAAGCTCATTTTTTGTCTGTTTATTATAAATATAAAAATAACTTCTAATTAAATAAAATAATTAATATATGATTAATCATTTGAAATAAATTGTTTATGAGCTATGCAGGATCAAAACTTCTTAATTTTATCATTTATTATGTCGTAAAAATCACTTACTTAACTAGTTTGTATAAAAATAATTATACATAAAGAAAAAGAGTTAAAGAAGAGGCATGATCAAATCATTTGAAGTGAGAAACAAATTGAATGGTGGATTTGGGGTAATTGTAAGTAAAGAAATTTAATATTAAAAAATAAGTTGATATAAATAATTGTCTTTAAGTAATGCAAGCATGTCGTCTACCATCATATATATATATATATATATATATATAGAGAGAGAGAGAGAGAGAGAGGTTAAGACAAGACAAATCATTTGAAATAACTATTTCCTAGTAATATGAGATTACAAATTATTTATTTCGTTGTTTTATTATAAATATGTTGAAGATTTCTCATTCAATCAATAAAGTGAAAAAAAAATGAAAATAAAAGAGTTAATTAGAGATGTAAAAATCTTCTATGAGAAAGAGACACAATCAAATTATTATAAAAATAAAAGTAATTAGATTAATATAAAAAAATGAATTAAATTTTATTTTTCATAAATATTAATTAATTAATTAATTGAATTCAAATATAATATTAAAATT